GCCTGCACTGCGTCTCCGGTCGCCTGACCGACCGACACCCCCCACTTCTTCTAACGCCACTTCTTCAAAATAGACTCGCCCAGGCCGAAAACCGACTTCTGTGCATGAGCCACGAAGTTTCAATCGCACTGTATGTGCGCGCCCACACGCGGTATTTTGTGGAAGAGCCACACTCGAGGGGCCAAAGAGCCGCATGTGGCTTGCGAGCCGCGGTTTGCCCACCACTGTCCTAAGACAATGAAATGTCGTCTACAGATTTTTAAAGGAAAAGTTAGGACAGAGGATTCGAACCTCAGGCAGGATGGCTTTCCATTTAACGGTGAAAGACACTTGTAGATATCAAGACATAAGACAAGGCTTCCTAATGCATTTTTTAAAAAAATAAAAAGCATTCTTCTATTTATTTTATTTATTCAACAAATATTTATTAAGTGATAGGCGGTAGGAGTGGGTAGTGAGAAAGCAGTACCCCTGCCCTCATGGAGCTTACACTCTAAAGCAGTGGTTCTCAACTTTGGCTGCACATTAGAATCACCTGGGAATCTTTTTAAAATCCTGATTTCTGGGCCTCATCCTCTGGAAATTCTGTTTCTTTGTTATGGGGTGGGGCCACAACATTAGTAACAAACAAACAGAATTTCCGGAGGATGAGGCCCAGAAATAAGGATTTTAAAAAGATTCCCAGGTGATTCTAATGTGCAGCCAAGTTTGAGAACCACTGCTCTAAAGGGAAGACAGACCGTAAGCAGTGAACATAATAAATGGACCAATGAAGTGATGAGGCCTCGAGAGAGAAGCAGCAGACGGAGGCAGCTGCAGTTTTAGGTGTGGCACTGAGGGTGGGTGAACTTTAAGTCAAGACTTGAGAGAGGTGGGGCATGGGCTCTGCAGATGTCTGAGGTTGGAACAGCCCAGCAGATGAGCAGCCTGTCTGTGGCCCTGTGGCTGGAGCGGGCCTGACCTGTGTGCAGACAACACTTTTCATGATCTGACCCTGCTTCCCTCTCCGATCTCTGGTCTCTACTCTCACGAGCCAGCCAACAGGTATTGGTCCTTCTCACCTTCCAAGTTTGGTAAATGTGTTCACCTAGAGCACTCCTGCCCCCAGAACTCTCCATACCTTTTGTCACTCCTACTCTGTAGCCAGATCTTAGCTTGAATGTCACTTTTTCAAGAAGTCTTTCCCTGAGCAATTCACCACCCCATTGCAAGCCCGGGTCTGAGTTAGGTGCCATTTCTAGCACCTCCGCAGGCTGTGGCACTCACTGCATATTATGATTAGTGTTTGGACTGTGTTGTTGGGACTGTAAAGTTCCACGAAGGCAGGGCTTGCTGTTGTATCACACAGACCTCACACACTCCTATCTTCTAGTGGGAGCTCGGTAAATATCTGTGGAATGAATGGCTTAACGGACAGGTGGTAAGCATACAACCCAGTGAAAAGAGAGACAAATAATTGTAGGACACGTTGTAAAACTAATGAAAATACCAAAATTATTTCCAAAGGAGATGTAAATAGGAGATATCTCCTGTCCAGATAGAGGGACACACAGACCAGGCTCCTGCCCCTGCCTTGCTGGGTTTGGCCAGTGCCGTCTCTCAACTGCAGGAGGAAGGGGAGGAAAGTGAGATCAGAGGATGTATTCACTGGGCCTCCTGTCTGCTGCAGGCTGGCTGTGTGTTCCCCACCAAGGATCACCCCACCAAGGAGGACAGCCCACCCCATCTCCACCCTCTGGCTCAGGAATGGAATAGTGCTGCTACCAGCTCGCTCCACTTTCATGTGCTATCCCTGGCCGTTCCCCTGCACTCACACTGAGCTCAACAGCCCCTGTATCAGTGCACCTTCCTGAAATCGTCCTATATCAGACATGCATTCTATTTCCTGCTGGAACCCTCACTGATACCTGTGCAAGGCTAAATGTCTGTAAAGTGAAGATCGTTTCCCAGGAAAATGTAGACTCATAAAATTGATTCAAGAAGAAATGAAAACAAAATATGCCAGTAACCAGGGAAGAAATAGAAAATATCAAATTATTACCTGCAATTAAATGACAGGCTTAGATAGTATCAAGTGCAAGATCTATCATGTCTTCTTAATTCAATAATTATCTACTTTTTAAAATCAGGGTATTAAAAAAGATAGAAATTTTCTCAGGTACTTTTATTAAGTTAACATATTAAAACCTGACAAAAATAGCTCAAAAAACTAAAACTGTTAACCAAATTTAGTTATTAAAAGAGATGCAAAAATCTTAGTAAATTAAATCTTCCATTATAATTAGAAGAATAGCAAATAAAGTCTGTTTTATGAAGGCAAAAGTGAGTCAATATTGGAAAATCTTTTTATATCAACTTGCTTTTTAAAAAAAGGGCAAAAAATAAAGTTAAATCCTGAAATTTGTAGTAACCTAGGAATGGAAAGATATTTCCTTAACTTAGAACAGAGTATCAATCTGAAACTAATATCCAAGATTATATTTATGATGAAACATTACAGACAATCCTATTAAAATTAAGAATAAGATAATGATGCCTGCTATCAATTTTGTTTAACATTGAACTTGAAGCTCTAGCCAATGTAATTAGACAAGAAAATTAAATAAGAAATATGAATAGTGAGGAGAAAATACCATTATTTGCAAAAAACGATTGTCTCCATGAAACATAACCTTCATAAATAAGGTGTATTTACAAATCAATGAAAAGACTGAACACACTTATAGAAAAAATGAGAAGACATAATGTAACAATTCAGAAAAGAAGAAAGACAAATGGTCAACCAAAACAAGTGTAAACATTCCATCTTGTACCTATCAAATTTAAATAATGAATGCGATGATTTGGGCAGGGAGAAAGAGGCACTCTCATACTCAATTCTTTAAGAAGTGTAACAATTTACACACTCACAATTTGACAATATCCTTTAAAAGCTTGAAAATGTACCTACACTTTGACCCTGCACTTCTCCTTCCAGGAATTCAATGTAGGAAGGGGGTAGAATTATTACCTAAGAATGGTTTGGGACAGCAAGAGATAGACTTATGTTCAAGAATGTTCATTGTTTATCATTTCCACTTATGGTAGTTAATTTCACTGAATACATGATGATCCATTCATAAAATAATATTATGTGGCCACTAACATGATGCTCATTTATCATTTTTGTTCACAGTCAATTTTGAGTAGACAAAAATCAAGTTTCAAAATAATAGGCAAAGTATTAGCCCATTTTTACATATATTAATGTTTTGTCTAAATGCATAAAACATGAGTATACACAATATAGGGTTTATCTCTGAACAAAAGACCTATGAACTTTTTATTTTGTTTCTCCTTTTTTTAATATATTTTATTGATTTTTTACAGAGAGGAAGAGAGAGGGATAGAGAGTTAGAAACATCGATGAGAGAAATATCGATCAGCTGCCTCCTGCACACCCCCCACTGAGGATGTGCCCGCAACCAAGGTACATGCCCTTGACTGGAATCAAACCTGGGACCCTTCAGTCCACAGGCTGACACTCTATCCACTGAGCCAAATCAGCCAGGGCTGTTTCTCTTTTTTAAAGGAGGTTTAGATGTGAAGGAACCTGGACAGGCTGTAAGGGAGCGGCCATCCCGAGTGACTTAAATACTGTACCTTTTCCTGTTTGACTCTGTGCTCAGGGAGCCCAGGGAGATGGTGCAGCCGGGCTTAGCTGCTGGCTCTCACTGTTGTCTGCTGTCGGTATTTGCTGCCTGGTCTTAGAAAAATTGCTTGAACTCCGTTTTTCTCAATCTGAAAAAATACAAAGAACAGTTGTATTACACTCAGTAAATCTCAAGCCTCAAAAACAGAGAACTATGAGGTTTCTTTCCCCTCCCCAAGATCAACTCTGAATGTGATGGAGCTTCCAAGTCCAGCTACTCACAGAAAGCAGCGGAGGAGCAGCGCGTTCCAGCACCCACAGGGACACACCCGCAGGACCCCAACAGTGAGAGACTCCGGGACAGATAACCCAGTTTCTTCAACAAAGAAACAGAAAGTTCTAAAACTACATCATATCAACTAACCTCATGTGTTTAGATTCTTATTCAAACAAACAAATTATTTTTAATATAATGGCATTGAAGAGAGTGCTGTGAATTTAAACACTGACTATATGATACTAAGAAAGTCAGTCTAGTTAATTTCTCAGGTGCTATAGTGATACTGTGTAGATATTTCTTCTAAAGGGTCCTTTAGGAGACACAGTAAAATACGTGCAGGTGAAATGGCAGAATGCCCGGAATGTGTTTTAAGATAATATGAGGGAGAGGTGCTGAGGGTGGATGGGGCAGGATTCGCCAGGGGATGATGCTGGGTACATGGGGGCTTATCATACTATTGGGTCCAGTTTTGTGTCCATTCAAATTTCTTCGTAACAACAACAAAAAAAGTTTATTTTTTAAAAGCAAAGTGTTCCCACCTTTATGATAAAGCTGATGAATTTTAAATTTGCAAATAATAAAATAGGAGTCCTTTGACCGTGGGGACTGTGAAAAAAAAGGGAAGGGCCAAGTAGAGGGGAAACTCCACAGCAAAGCAGTTCTCTTCGCCAATGTCCTGACATATTAGAAAGTTGAGGTGAGAAGTTGGGATTACTGTCCTCGGCCACGCGCTCCCAGCAGAACCTCATGCTGTTCCCTGAGCAGCTCTCCAGAGTACCCCGCCCCCCCCCCTGCTCCTGAACCGGGATGCTGAGCGCTTTGCCCAGATTTGCATGATGGATGGCGGGACAGGGCCCCTTGCCCAGCGCGGCCTTGTGCTTATCTTGTGCTTATCTGTGAACTCACTCCTGCAGCCCTTCACCTGCCCAGCTGTGCTGTCACTGTGATCGCCCCTGTTCCCAGAGGGACTGAGGACAGTGGGGTCACACAGACAGTCGTGGGGTGCGAACACACCTCCATCTCCCTGCCCTTTCCGCACTTGGACCCCAAGCCCAGTCAACCTGAACGTGGCCTCCCCACTTCCCACAGGTGCTGCAGACCTGCGCGCCAGCCCCTGCGGTCATCGAGGTGCTGTTCAACGCCTACCCTCAGCTCCGCGTGTCCGAGTCCTGGAGGGAGGTGATCCCGGAGGAGGTGTTTCAGGTGAGGGAGCCGCCTGCCTTCCGTGTAGGTGCAGAATCGCCTTCTGTTTCTGTGCGGGGCCAGGCGTTCTGCTCTCATCTCCAGGTGGGTGTAAACCTCTGGAGAAGGAAAGCGGAAGCGACCTGGGGGTACATCTGAGTCCCTCTGCCTTCCTGTGGGCGCTCAGCATTTACACAGCCAGGAGCTCCTGTTACAGTCGGGGTGTCCTACAAGGAGCGGGAGGAGCAGTCCCACGCTGACTAGAGGGATGGCAGGACTCAAGGACCTGGTGTCCAACCAGGGTGGGGGTCCAGCATCTGAGTCCACAGGTGTGGCTCCTGTGTGTCCGCTTGTCTCACACTGACTTCCCGCCTTCCTTGCCAGGCACACCGGCCTTTCTACCAGTCTCTCTTTGCCTTGGCCGGCAGCCCCCGCCGCCTGCTGCACCTCTGCCGCTGTGCCATTCGCAGACGGTTTGGCAAACAGTGCTCCCGCCTCGTGCCTCTGTTACCCTTGCCGGCGACCCTGCAAAGCTACCTCCTTTTGGAGCCAGAGGGTGTTTTGCACTGAAAACCAGAGCATTTGGACTTGTTCTTGGTCTCCTCTCTGCTTCTGTGGTGGCTGGGTGGTGAGAGCGCCCTGGGTGGGGACCTGCGGGCCTCGTGGGACCTCCCACTGGCCAGTCAGGCCCACCTGGGAATGCAGTAAGAGCCCTCACTGCCTCTCAGGTTGCTTGTGAGGATGAACATCGTGCATCGCATAGGACTTGTATCAGAAAGTGCCTAAGGTGTACCTGTTGCTGCGAGGTTTGTCTCCTGCCCAGAAGGGGTCAAGCAGCATGCACGCTGCCCCCAAGGCTTCGGACCCACTGCTTCCTGGACAATGCCCCCTCCTCCTGAAGCCCAGCCACCTGGAAAGACTGTCCCCAAAACATGACAGATGTGCATACTGAGGGAGGACATCAGTTCCATGATAAAAGCCCCTTCCCCGGAGCCCACTGGTGCTTCCCAGCACAGGGTGGCCCAGGGCTCCCCAGAAGGACACTGGAGGGGCTGTGAGCCAGACATGTTTACCCCATGCGAGTCTCCTGTCTGACATTCTCACCAAACCCAACCGATCCAGCTCTAGGGCATGGTCCAGGAAGCCACAGGCCGATAGAGGTTGCTCTCAGCTCAGCCCAAGCATCTGTAACAGGAGAGATGTTCTGACGGTCTAGGACTGTAGTCACTTGATTTTCTGAATTCTGATGCTTTGACATCTGGGGCTCTGATGACTCTGGAGAGACTCTGCCCTCTCTCTCCCCTCACCCCCACTCCCCACCCCCCCTCCCTGCCCCACCACCACCACCACCAGGGTTATCATTCCTAGAGATAGTAAACAACTTGCCAGGCCAGCATGCTTTTCAAATGAAAACCAACCCAGAGCGCACACCCCAGCCCCTCCTTCACTGGTGCTCATGCCCCAGGACACCAGCCACCCCAGGGCCAGGTACCAGACAACCCTTCTGCCCCAGAGCCCGCTGAAGTTATTCTGAGTAGCTAACCCTAAGCCTAAACCTAACCCTAAGCCTAACCCATCTATCCTGCCTCACCCGTTCCTTCTGTGGAAACCACAATAAAGGCTCTTGCCCACACCCCCACTTCTGACCAACCCTGGTGCTTCCCCGTGTGGCCCCCATGGCGAGGCCTGTTCCATCTCTGGGGAATGAGTGATAAACTATCTTTTCAATGGCAATCATCTCCTGATTGGTTGGTCTCACTTGACCTCAAGTTTGCTATTAGACACCATCCTATATAATAAAAGGCTAATATGCAAATCGACCAATCGCTATGATGCTCAGACCACCAGGGGGCAGGCACTCAATGCAGGAGCTGCCCTATGGTGGTCAGTGAGCTCCCATAGGGGGAGCGCCGCTCAGCCAGAAGCCCTGAGTCAGGTTCCCAGCTGGCTAGCGCAGCGGTGATGGTGGGAGCCTCTCCCGCCTCCACAGCAGCGCTAAGATGTCCAACTGATGACTTAGGCCCGCTCCCCGGGCCTAAGCCATCAGTCAGACATCCCCTGAGGGCTCCTGGACTGCAAGAGGGCACAGGTCTGGCTGAGGGACCCCCCCCCCCAAGTACACGAATTTCATGCACTGGGCCTCTAGTATTTTATGAGAGACTGCTGTGGCCCTCCTCTGCAGACAGCAGTGGCTCTGTTTTTGTCCAGTCTGAACCAATGCAAGATACTCCTGAGCAATCTGAGAGGGGACAGGGCACTTCGTCCCATTGTTGCAGTCTGGAAGGGGAGTTTATACCCACAAATACTGCAGGATAAGGCAAGGTGTTGTGTGCACTATGAGTGAAGCCCACTTGGGGGGGCAGTGAGCAGGGGGCAGACACTGAGATGGGCATCGTGATGGGGGTAGTCTGGCTGAGCCTTGGCCAATGGTCAGATTTCAACACAGAGGGTCTGAAAGGGAGTGACAGGGCAGCAGAGCCCTCAGCTGACCACCCACATCTGCCCCTTGAGCCCAACAACTCACCTGCCCTAGAAAAGGCTACACAAACATGGCTGTCCTCAAGCTCCTCCCAAACAGACAGGAGTCACCACTGTATGGAAAGAAAAACCGGAACAAAGACAGGGGTGCGGGACAGTGCAAGGCAGAAGGGACATTGACATGTGTGTCCTCTGGAGGGGAGGGTCACTGAAAGGAGCGCAGATAGGAGAGCTTGGTTTTCAGACCAAGGATTCTTACCTTATTGGCAAGCGACAAGGACCATGGAGCAGGTGAGCAGATATGGTCACAGTGGGACTCCAGGAAGGTGACTCTGTCCTGGAAAGGGGTGCAGCATCCTGGAGGGCGGGGAGGAGCCCGAGATGATACCCTAGAGATGGGCTTCAGATCCAGGCTGCTCTGCTGAACAGGAAGAGTCATTTAACCAAAACCAGCTGCAATCACCTGGAAAATGAAGGTATCTGTGCCTCTTGAATATGGCTGGGGTGACCCTTCCCCCAGGGTGGCCCCACTGAGCCGGCCCAGAAAAGGAACTTGGTAAGTAGTTCCTTCTAGTACTATGATTGTTTTTACTATTATTAGAAGAAAATAGCCTAATATTGGGAGAAAGACTGTAAAATATGGAAAAGCAAAGCAGTGTTATTTATGAGGACAAATAAAAGGGCGAGACCGGTAAGAACTGCAGCCACAGCCCTGAGCAGCTCTGTCCTCACTGAACTTTGCAAATCTGAATCTGAGCGAGCACACTCGCCATCCCTGCTTCAGCCACCCCGTCCCGTCTCTCCCACACACCTTAGGAAACAGTTTGCTTGTTTTTCTGAAATGCATTAAGTTTAAATATGTTTGGAGTCCTAGAACAAAGTAGAACTCTTTGAAAACATGTTAACGTTATATTTCTGAAAATCTGATGAATAAAGACTCATATTTAGTTTTTCAGAATTGAATTGCTAGCAATTTGCTTTATTAATAAAGAAAAATTTTTAACTCAAAAATGTGTTGTTTTGATGACTGTGTCTAACTGTGCTCTACGCTGCATGTATTAGGAGGTTCTAAAATGAAGGGGACTTGCATCATTCCATCCAGATGAGAAAGAGAGAAAGGGGAGGGAGTAGGGGGAGAAGGAGAGAAGGACAAGACTAAGAGAAGGGAGTGAGGAAGGGAGGGGAGGAGGGAAGTGGGAGAAGGGAGAGAAGGAAGGTACTTGAGATAAACCTCCAAAAGACATTCCTCTTTGAAGCTAGAATTACCCTGGCTGACTTCTTTCCCAGTGAACAAACTATACCTGGGGATTTCTCTTATTACAGGCTCTAAAAATGTTTTCTATTCTTTCACAGTTCATATTGGACATCATTACTTTTCTCTTTGAGTATCCTATATAATAAAAGGCTAATATGCAAATTGAACGATCAGCAGACCAACTGGTCACTATGATGCGCACTGACCACCAGGGGGCAGACACTTAATGCCGACCTGGTTCTAAGCCGGCAGTCAGACATCCCCTGAGGGCTCCTGGACTGCCAGAGGGCACAGACCAGGCTGAGGGACTCCCCCCACCCCCCATCGCCGCCCCGAGTACGCAAATTTCGTGCACCGGGCCTCTAGTGTTACATAAACTCAGTTTCATAAGACCTAAGTTGCTCTCTTTAATTTCAAATTTAGTTTTTAATGATGCATTCACATGGTCCAAAATACAGAAGGTAACAAAAGAGTAAATGTTATTTCTACTAAAAAAAGATAGCAGAGGAATATTTTCCTTCCAACTTTTTTTTAATGTTAAGCCTCACCTGAGGATATGTGTTTATTGATTTTTAGAGAGAGAGAAAGAGAGAGGGGGAAAGAGAGAGAAAGATACATAGATGTGAGAGAAACATGGATTGGTTGCCTTCCATATGTGCCCTGACCAGGGATTGAACCCACAACCTAGGTATGTTCCTTGACCTGGAATAGAACCTGCAACCTTTGGGTGCACCGTACAATGCTCCAACCAACCGAGCCACCTGGCCAGGGCCCCTTTGACTCTTTTGTTTTGTTTTAGAGAAAGAATGCAGAAAGGAGAGGTATAGAAAGATAGAAACACCGATGAGATAGGAACATTAATTGGCTACCACAGCATGTCCCCCTATTGGAGATTGAGCCCAAAACACAGTCATGTGCCCGACTAGGAATCGCACCCGAGACCTTTTGGTTCATGGGTCACCACTCAACCACTGAACCACACCAGCTGGGCCCTTCCAACTTTTGTTGAATATCTTTGTACTACTTGTCATCTGACCACAGAGAATTCCCAAACACACAATAGAGGTTCTCCACCAACCAAGGACCTGAGGAAGTCTGCCTCCCTCCATCCTGACTGCCCCCCAGACGGGAGGAAATGCTCCCAGCACCGCAGGAAGGCCAGCAGTCACCCTCTGACGCAGCACCCTGAGACGTATCACGTTTAAAATTCTGAGCACAGCGTTAGGCCTCTCTTTTCAGCATATTTTGTGTCCAATGAATTTTAAGTTACATGATCATCATCAATTCAGCCTGTTGTGAGGAAAATCGAAACCTCTGACTCTTTAAGAAGCATTTGCTAATACCAGTAACTGTATTTAATCGTCACACTTCCAATTTCCGAAATCTCCTTCTGATGACACAGGTTGAAGGGGCAGGCTGTTGAACTTTGGCAAAGAACACTTAACCCTCTCCCCAGATGGTGTAAAATACAGGCTTGGAGAATGAGCCGGTCGGCTCCCGTGACCCGCCCTGACGCCGGGCATCCGAGAGGAAGCTTAGCCACTGCCATTGCGGATGTCATTAGCTCGCCAAGTGCTTCTCAGCTCTTAAGGGCTGCCCAAGGACCGAGTGATAAACCAGGAATATGGCATCTTTTATTCCATTATTTCAAGAATAAATGATCCCTGAGACAAATCTCTTTCTGTGCTCTCGGAATATTCAGAAGCCCCAAAGTTTCAACTATGATCAGTACAGCATCTTATTTTTTTACTTCAGCATAGTTTTCAAATTCCAGGGTTTTTCTTGAAATTGTCATCATCTATTTCAAAGCAAATATTGATTTAATTAAATTGCTAAA